GTCTGCCCTTCATAGTAGGTCTCTGCAAAATTAATTTGATGAGATCCACCTTTGATATGACCTCAATTCTTCTGGGCAGCAAATAATGCTCGAGTTTAGTACAAGCGAAGACCAATGAATAACACATTTTTTCTGGCATAGTGTAATTCAGTTCTGGTCCTGTAAGGGTTTTACTGAGATAGTAGATTGCCCTTTCCTTCCCGTCATCACCATCCTGTGCCAACAAACAGCTAACCACTTCATATGTATTTGCCAAATAAAGTTTGAGTGGCCGACCTTGTTTAGGAGGCATCAAGACTGGAGGGTGAACCAATGCCTGCTTGATAGCATCTAAAGCCATTTGTTGATCGGGACCCCATTCGAAAGCATTTTTTCCAGCTTTCAACAATTTAGTAATGGGTCTGACCTTGCCAGCAGCATTAGAAATGAAACGCCTCAAATAATTCACCTTACCCAACAGACTTTGGATTTCTTTAACCGTCTTGGGTGGCCGACTATCAAGAATGGCTTTAGCCTTATTGGCATCAATTTCAATTCCTCTCTCATGAACTAAGAATCCTAGAAAGCTCCCGGCTGATATTCCAAAAGCACATTTGGTTGGATTCATCTTCAACTTGTACTTCTTCATTCTTTCAAATGCCTCTTCAAGATCTCTCAAATGTTCATCAAAACTGGCAGATTTAACAATAACATCATCAATATACACTTCCATAGATCTGCCAATTAAATCATGAAAGATTGAATTCATGGCTCTTTGGTAAGTTGCCCCTGCATTCTTTAACCCGAATGGCATGACTGTCCATTCATAAATACCTAAAGCCCCTGGGCATCTGAATGCTGTCTTAGGAATGTCTTCCTCTGCCAGAAATATTTGGTTATAACCTGCATAACCATCCATCAGACTAAGGATTTTATGCCCTGCTGCTGCATCTATCAACATGTCGGCCATAGGCATCACATATTCATCCTTAGGGGTAGCTAGATTCAAATCCCTGAAGTCGATGCATATCCTTATCTTACCATTTTTCTTGACCACTGGCACAATATTAGCCAGCCACTCCGCATAACGGCAAGGTTGAATGAAACCCACTTTGAGAAGTTTTTGGATTTCTTCCTTGATTTGAGGCATCAGATCTGGACTCATTCGCCTTGGAGGTTGTTTGTAAGGTTTACAACCTTCTTTGATGGGCAATCGATGCTCTATTAGACTTCTTGTCAAGCCAGGCATCTCTGAATAATCCCATGCTAAACAATCAATGTTGTTTCTAATAACTTCGAGCATCATTGTTTGTTGCTCTTTAGACAAATAACCACTTAACCTGATCACTTTTGGAACCAATTCGGTTCCTAAATTAAACTCCAATAATGGGTCTTGTGATGAAGCTGTTGGTTCTGTTTTTTCTAATAAGTCGGGCCAACGAAATTGTTCATCTTCTTGGAGGTGAACATCCAGAATCTCTTTACTATTTTCTGCTTTATGTAATAATTGCTTTAAATAGAACTTATTAATAAGAGAACTACATACTTCTAAGCTTGTATCTTCCATTACAAACAAATTATACGGGAATGGGTGTGGCTTTATCATGAGCCATACAATAAAGGTGTTCTTTTAATAGAACATCGAGTTCTGGCCAGTGACCTTATAACCCATGTTTGGGTATTCCCTGGCCATATACAATTGAGACATCGGAGCCAAAGGACTGGCATAAAACACTGACTCTTCAACTTGTTCTGATACAACGAATGGGTTGTCATTCGCTTCCATTTTGAAGACCTGATCTCCTTCCCAGAACATTAATTGTTGGTGCAAGGTTGATGGCACACATCGAGAGGCATGAATCCAGTCTCTTCCCAGCAAGAGAGAATATGTAGTATCTGCGTCCACAATAAAAAAAAACAGTGGAGATCTTCTTTGGTCCGACTTCAATTGTGGCAACCATCATGCCTTCAGGCTTGGTCGGCTGCCCTGTAAAACTTGTCATTTCGAATTCCACAGGAGATAGATCATGTATTCCTTTTCCTAACTTCTTGAGAGTCTTCAATGGCATAACATTAAAAACTGCTCCATTATCCACGAAAACCTTTGTGATTGGTTTCCCACAAATATGAGCATTAACATACAGAGGCTTCAAATGGGAGATCGCACCCTCTGGAATGGGAGGAAACACAATCGAAGGTGGCTCCGGTTGAAGCTCAGAGTCTGAGGTCTTTGCCCCCTCTGTCTCCTCTAATTCATCATCTGCCAAGAATGCCCATAACGGTTCGTCCATAGTATCATCTACCAGACTCGCCCATATCGGTTCATCTCTCATCTGATTAACTTCTGTCATCCGACAAGGGATGCGTGGTCCCAAACGAGATTTAACAGATCTTGAACTTTCCTCTGTAGTTATAACTTCTTCCTTCGTCTTGTTCTGAGGTTGAAACGTCAAAGATTCTATACGGAAGTCTTCAAGAGATGGATTGATGTTGATCCGTTCACAATGTTGGCATCTAAAACCTTTAATTATTTCATCTGCCACACCTTTACCTTTCCCCAGTCCCGACGAACTTCTTTTGGTATGGTCGGAAGCGCCTAATCCGTCATTCGGTTGCTTTCCTGACCAGACCCGACTGGACCGACCAACTGGAGACTGAATGGTTACTCCCTGCTCGTTGGTCGTTTGTTCTGTAAAGATCCGAATGGACTGATCTCCTGCCAAGTGGTCGGCTGCTTTTTGTTCGTCGGTTAGTTGTTTTGCTGAAGGACCTCTTTTCCCATACTTTGCAGCATACCTGCGTTTGGCATTACGAATCTGTGTACGATTCATACCCGGGAAACGAGGGTCTATATCAACTGGCAAAGGCTTTTTATTTCGAGCCCAATTGTTCCCGACTGACCCTGTTTTTCTGGTCGGGTGGTCACGAACTAACGCCCTTTCTTTCACCTCCACATTGAAAGAACCGTCTGGATGGTCCCATTTTTCAGCGACTGGTTTCTCACAAACTTTGAGTCGTTCTTCCGGTCGGCTGCTGTTTGGCCGACTTCCTTTTTTGTTTCGGGGCTTGGCTGGTTTCGTTCCCCTTTTTGTCCATCGTTGGCCGAACTTTTCCTTGTTTCCGAACTTGGTTGGATGTCAACCATTGCCGTTGTTACATTCGGAAACGGTTGCTGGTCTACACCTAGAGTGATGTATTTGAGCCGACCTGTCTTGATGGCCTTTTGAATTTCCTTCCTAAAATGAGTACACTGACTTGTAGTGTGTGTGAAAGAATTATGCCACTTACAATATGGTCTCCCTTTGATTTCTTCTTTAGTGGCAAGTCTTTGCCCCTTTGGAATACGGATCTGACCATCAGTCAGCAAGATATCAAAAATTTCATCAGCTTTTGAACTATCAAAGGTCGGTTGCTCCTTTCCTTCAGATCCTGGTACTGGCTTCAATTTAGGACATACATACGGTTTTCCAGAAAGGATTTCAGCTGCCATCTCTTCTGACTGATTAAAATCAAAGTCGCATGTTTCTGTTCCCATACTCGCCATATGTTGGCCTCTATTACGCCTGTTATGCTGATCTTCCTCTCTGAACAAAGACTCTAGACGTCCTGCCTTGGATGCAAGACTTGCCAAATCCTCAACATCCAGGGCAGTGAGTGCCTTTCTTAAACGATTATGCATATTCCGGACCACTAAATTGGTCATCTCTTTCTCACTGATTACCGTAGGACATCGTCCCTTCATCAATCGCACCCTTTCTATAAACTGTGAAGCAGTTTCTTCTGGATACTGTCTCAATTCAAGTAAATCAGTTAAAGAAACAACTGGTAAAGGATTAAAGAATCTAGCGTGAAATGCCATCTCCAGTCCTTCCCATGTCTGAATTTGTCCTGGAGGCAAACTTACAAACCACGAAAACGCCGTTCTAGTAAGAGATAAACCAAACAGCTGTAACTTATAAAAAGGGTTATTGCCAACTTCTCCCAATTGTGCTGTGAACCGACCAACATGTTCTATGGTAGAAGATCCGTCCTCCCCTGAGAATGCATGAAAGTCGGGTGGTCGAAAATTCCTTGGGAGAGGGTGTTCATTAATGATCCTTTCTGGGAAAGGTCTCTGATATGGGCGGTTAGCCATCTGAGGAGTTAATCCATACTGATCCCTTAATATATGTGCAATCTCGTCAGGATCTACATGAAAGCGTTGATGATCAGGAACATGGAACGGATCCTGCACAGGAATATGAATAGGATCATGTATATATCCTTCAGGCCTGTCCTCCCTTGTATTGCTCGGCTGCGGATTGGTAACCCTTGGTCCCAGTGGAACATTGTTGGGAAAAGTCAAAGGAGATTTTCCCCTATCCATTCGGTTGGGATTTGTGGCACTTGGGAATGTACTATCCACGAATGATGGCCCTGCGAAATTTGCCTGTGGTCTGGACGGTGACACTCCTGGTGGCGTTTGAGTGGGTTGAAGACTAACCCTTGACAGTGCTTGATCTATCATGTTCTGCAACTGACTCTGTTGCTCACGCAACATGTTCGTTTGTTGCTCACGCAACATATTCTGCATAACCAAGGTATGCTGGTTGTTCATTTGTTGAACATAAGACCACCAATCAGTTGGTGGTTGTGGGATTTCCCCGGCATTTGGCACAATGGGTGGTGGAACGGATTCTCCCACCGGTGTCGAAGATGCTTGCGGTTGTGAACCTGCCATAACCCTTCCGATGATTCGGCCGGATCTAAGACGTATGAAATTATCGCCGGAATTGGAATGAGCAATTTTGTCTTGCTCCCACTGTGGTCACCAATTTGTTGATGTATTTTTTCAACAAAAATAAAGTAAAATTCAAAGATATGGAAAATATCCTTAAACTTGATTAATTAGTGCCTGAGATTAGGAATCTCTAAACACTGTAACGTACAGAAAATAATACTGGAAAATAAAAGACTGAAATTTAAAGTGGTGATCCCCAAATCTGACTTTGCTTTGTTGAAGTTGATTGAAGATCCCTTGCCAAATGATGATCCAAATCCTTAAATATTCCCTGGGAAACCGTACTGAAAACCGTCACCCGAACGGTTACAACGTCTCCTTCTCAACCGTCTTCCAACCTTTCTCATGCTGACACGTGTCCCCAGCAGACCAAAATTCCCTATATTTCACTCCTTGAGCCGACCACAGACCTTCCGCTCTTTTGGCCCGACTTCGTCCTTCGTCCGACCTACTTCTTCGCCCGACCCCACTTGGGCCGACCTCCATATCAACCGCCCCCTGTCTTTGATCAAAGGCCTCCGCGTTTGTCCGACTCCTCCTTCTATCCGACCTACAGTTTACCCGACCTGCGGATATCCCATCTCGACGACTTTCCGTCTCGAGGACCTCCCGACTTGAAAACCTTCCGACTCATCGTCTTTCCGTCTTGCGGACCTCCCGACCTGAAGACCTTCCGACTTGAGGTCTTTCCATCTTGCGGACCTCCCGACCTGAAGACCTTCCGACTTGAGGTCTTTCCATCTTGCGGACCTCCCGACCTGAAGACCTTCCGACTTGAGGTCTTTCCGTCTTGCGGACCTCCCGACCTGAAGACCTTCCGACTTGAGGTCTTTCCGTCTTGCGGACCTTCCGACCTGAAGACCTTCCGACTTGAGGTCTTTCCATCTTGAGGGCCTCCCGACCTGAAGACCTTCCGACCTGAGGTCTTTCCGTCCTGAGGACCTACCGACCTAAGAACCTTCCGTCCTGAGGTCTTTCCGTCCTGAGGACCTACCGACCTAAGAAACTTCCATCCTGAAGACCTTCCGACCTGAGGTCTTTCCGTCCTGAGGACCTACCGACCTAAGAACCTTCCGTCCTGAGGTCTTTCCGTCCTGAGGACCTACCGACCTAAGAACCTTCCGTCCTGTATTTTCCTTAGAAATAAATAAATAAATTTATTTTCCTTGATTTCCTCACGGTGTCCTTCAGCCAGTTCAATCAACCCTATTGCCAGGCCCATTCTTCTTTTTACCTTGGGCTTTTAACCTAATTCTAAATTTCGTACGTAACAACTTGCCCGCCGCCAAGGGACTTTCAAACGCCATTTAACAATCAATGTTTGGAAGTTCATAAAGCACTACCTCCTTAGCAACTACACCAGTTACTGCAACACTCCTGGTTAACTTCCTTCTTCGCAATACAAGCCTGTGTGAATCACAATCCCAAAACATTCTAACTATGGCGAATCAATACATTCCTGCCCTTCCTTTCGACGGAACCCTTCCAGAAGGTCCATTTTCAGCCTCGAAAGTACTAACTCCGACGATCCGTCCATATTGCACTACTCCTGAAGATTCAAATCGGATGAGGGAAGTTTTGGAATCTCGCAACTCCTTGGCTATCAACAATCCCAACTACCAAGCAGTTCGCATCCGAGACAGCATCAAGACCCATCTCACAGACCCAAAAGATCTGTATCGTGCTTGGTATCGACGAGTAGCAGAACACTTCCAGACCCAATGGCGATCCCAAAAGATCGACCAAGCAATACTACTGTCCACCATGCCTATCAACCTGCATGAGAAGGTGCTGTTGGCCATGTCCGCCTTCTGGAATGCGGAAAATGGGACTTTCCTTTTGCCATCGGCCCCCTTTGGCCCAACTCTTATGGACGTGGCCATGATCGCACATCTCCCAGTCGTGGGTGAAGACCCTGTAATGGGAGCCCTAGATGGGCAGGAGCCATCAGAAGACCATCCGGGATGGTCTTTACAAGGTGTGAAGGAATGGGGTTGGACAAAGTTCGCAACCGACCAGCAAGGGGCTCCAGGGACTCCTGTAACCGACCGGGAGCATACTGCCTTTATCCTGTTCTGGCTTTGTAGGTACGTCATTGTTTCCCCTTCCAAAAGTGTTCTTCCTTCTCACCTCGACCTGGCCATTCATATTGCGTCAGGTCGGTTCTTCTCCCTTGGTACTCTATTTTTAGTCAATCTGTTTGAAGGACTCACCAGGGTTAGCCTTCGTTTAACAGATAACGATAATAGGAAATTAGACACTGCCGCGTCGGGTCCTTTTTGGTTTTTAGAACTTTGGTTCCGTCTTTACTTCCCCAACGCGTTTAACTTAGGATCTCCGCCCACTATGCCAACATCTGAAAAACATTTAGGATTAGTCCTCAACCGACTCTGCTCAGGACGCAATAAACTCCAATCTTCCGATCCCATAATAACCGCCATTTTAACAGATACCCGCAGTAACTCTCGATTTTCTATGTATAAAAAGTATGCGGGTTATGCTCCCGACCATTTTTGGCCCTTTCCAGTACCAAACCCGCTTCCGACTCCTGAGCCTTGTCCTCATCCCACCTATCCTTTCGCCTGGGATGTCGCCCTCAAACCCAGGTCTCTTTTTAGTAGCAAGAAACTTGATAAAAAAGGGCAGAAAACTTTTTACACTTTTAACTATGAACCTCAATTCATGGCGCGCCAGTTCGGCTGTTGCCAAGGTATCCCTGGACCCGTCGCGTGTCCCCAAATAATTTTTCAAAGTCCCGACCGACGAGTCCTTCCTAATTCAATCCCTTCTTATATCTCCCAGCTCACCACGTATATAATTTCCAATTCTTATATTCCTTTCCGCTCCAACCCTGAGATCGTAGATACTTTCAATGAATGGTGGTCGGTTGTATGGTCCCTGATATCCCCTGATGAGGGTCGGTTGCTGAACATACTCCTTCCCCCCCAAGGATTGGTTCTAGGGGCGGCGAGACATACTAGCACCCAACAACAAACAACCGCCCCGGGAATCGGATCTGGTGGTCCCACGCGCAAAAGAAAAACTTCCCAGCTGCAAACACCCCCGACCTCGGAGACCGACCAGCAAACACTAGCAGACCTTGGAATAAATAGGACGTCAGCAAGGACCCGACCCCGAATTGGTAATGTTTCTTAACACCGTGAACCAATTTACTATATCGTAACTTTGATTTTACTCATTTCATTCCCCAGAACCGACCTTGATGACATCGACCATGCAACCGACGCCAGCACCAACCGACCATTCAATCGGGCCTTTGGTCCAGACCAATTTGCCAATGAGCAGTCGGGCGGAGGACCCGACGCGGAGGCAAACTCTTCCTCCCGTACCGAGGAGTGGTCGGGCCAGGCCCCCGACCAGGAGACAATCTTTACCAGCAGTGCCTATAGAACCAGTAAGTTCCTTTATCAGCAAGACTTAGGATTCGGATGATCAACCTTAATATATTTAACAACAAACATCTTCATGATTTTTCCACAGACACCTTCACCCATCCCATCAGCAGCAGGGGTCTCTTCTGACAGCGAGGGGACTACTTCCCAGATGGGTCGGCCGCCATACATGGCATCAGACTCATCTATGTCAAAGGAAGAACCAGCCGCCCTCGCCGAAGCTGACCCTCAAAACGACATCCCTGATGCTGCTGATCCCGAAATCGAAGGTGCCCCAGAGATCCTGGCTGCAGTGGCTCTAGAGGTAGCCGTCCAACCTGCAGCCGCCCTACCAGCAGCGGCGCTCCCTCTAGCCATCGAATGGCAGGCAGAAGAACCACCTGTGGCAGCCCAACCTCCAGAAATGGAAGAAATGTCTTCATCCGATTCGGAGACTTCTGTGAATTTGGTAAGATTAGACCAATCCATGCCATAACTTTTCTTTCGAAAAACACTAACTGTTTCAAATACTACTTTCCATAGGGACCCAGGTCGGCACCTCAGCGACCATTCGCAGCAGCCGACGAGTCGGCTGCTGTTATACCAGCTGTCTGCCCAACTCGACCGACCTCATTGCTGCCCCCCTCACTGACAGCAGTCCGCCCAGAGGTACCACATATTTTCTCCGAACAAATTTGCAACTCCCTTGGAATATTTATTGACATTGTAGGACTTGCAGGGGCCTTCGGACTTAGCTGTCCTATCGACTGTTCCGGTTCCAGCGGAGGCCCAGACTGTGTTCACTGAGGCCATTAACCGTCCCCTGTCCGAATTAAGGTCCGACTTATTGGACAAGCTCATTCAGACGGTTGGTGGCCTTCTTTATTACACTCCAACGGAATCACCAGCCGTCCCCATTCTGCATCGGCTGATGGAAAGACTTACAGAGCTCAAGACTGAAGTATTAGTCATTGGACTCCTGTCAGCCGAAACCCCCCAGCCCGACTTCGATCAAACAGCGCTGGAGAATTCTTTGGCTAAGACCCGAGAATCCCTCCAGCAGACTACTGGAAGGCTGGGTGGTCTCCTTAACACGAAAGCTCAAGTTGATGAAGCTATTCAGAAAAAGGAGGCAGAATTGCGGGAGCTGAGGAAAGAACAGTCTACCCTGGATAAGCAAATTATCAATGAGCAGCGTCTGATTGAGCAGTACACCAAGAATGAAGCTGAATTGGATCAAGAGCTGAAAACCCAAGCCCGATCCCAATTCATCATAAGATATCAGACGGCTGCCAATACCAGAAGGCTATCCAGGGATGAAATCAAATGGACCCATATAAAAACTGCCCTAGGGGCACTGTTGTAATACTTCCCCCTTTGTAACAACAATTGACTTAGTAATCCATTTTTTTCTTTCTTCTCTCAAAACAAGGATCACCTTTCAATTCCCAGCTTTATAGGAAACGAAACAAACTCCTTCTTTAAAAGAACACTGTTTCTCACATTTTAAGAAACACATTCTAAGGCATATTCGAAAAATCAAAACACCTGACGTATTAACAAACATGGCGAGTGACCGACCTCATGTTCCATCAAGCAACTGGGAAGGTGTTCTCCAACCCTTCTTTGTGGGTAATCACCCTATTGGAGGCCATGCAGAAGACTTGTTATATATACTCAAGCAACTAGACTTCAAATTCCGATTCTCCCAACGAGGTAGAAGAACTATTCATCGCGTCATCCGCCTGATGGAAAAAATCATTGAGGGATATGAACCTCTTCGTGACATCCTCAGCCGCATTCCTGATCTCCATCATCACATGGAAATGATTGAAAATCATACAGCAACCATACTTCCAGACCTTGGTTGGGATAACATATTTTCCAATCAACGAAAAGTCTTTTCAAGATTGCGTACCATTGTTGACCGTGAACATCAAGCCCTAACAGACATGCAAGCACGTACCCATCAAGATCTAGATGACATGCAAAGCCAATGGGAAAGGTACCGACCAGACTTGGAAGATCTTATTGAAGAAGAACCAGAGCTAATATCCACTCACTGGGATGAAAAGTCTGATTCAGAGACAGAAAATTTCTCACAACTACACGATGACTAACAGAAATGAACCTTCCAGTAGGTTCGAACCCCATAAATGGGTTCTGAATAATATTTTGTTTCAGGCAGTTTTGTTATCTGAAAAGGCAGGATAATACCTCTTCAGATATTTAGCATTAATACAATCATGTACTCTTCTACCTTCATGATTTACAATAATGAACGCGCCATTTCCAATATCTTTTTGAACAATGTATGGTCCTTCCCAATTCGGTGACCACTTTCCCAATTGATCAGTTTTCTTATATATAGGAAGAATGGTCTTCCAAACCAAGTCTCCTTTCTGGAATGTCCTGTGGAGAACTTTCTTTCCGTAACTCCTTGCTCTGATTTCA